AAATCAATCATGGGCCTATAAAATGCTGGGGGGGGCACATGTGGCCCGCGGGCTTTGAGTTTGACACATGTGAGATAGATGGTTGGACTTTGTTATCGCTTTGCTATAAAATAAACCATGTTGTTATAGTCAGAAAGTTACACACAAAAACATAGATATGAATGTCATATTAATATTTACTTTATAATGATGATTGTAACTGTTGTTTTCTTAGTTGGAATTATGATAAAGCACATTAGATGCGCAAGTATTTATTTATTTTTTGTTGCCCACTTAGGTTATAAATTAAACAAGTTTGCCAAGAAACCACACTTTCACTTGTCATCCAAAATATCCCATCATGATTCTGGCAAGACCTTAATCCACTCTTTTTTTTTTTACCAGAATTTGTAGAATTCATTTAAATGTGTTGTTTTTTTTGGCACAGCCAGCACAAAAAGCTGTTATTACTTTTAATACTTATCTACCCTCCTTAGGTGGAGCAGCCACTAAGATCCAAGAAGTGCGTGTGGCAGAAGTTGCTCTCCAAACAGCGAAAGCGTGCAGTTGTTGCCTGCTTCCGAATGGCCCCCCTTTATAATCTACCAAGGTACTGCATTGTGCACAGTTAAACTAAAAACATTCATAGTTCCCTTCATTTTTAAAAGGTCTCCATCCAATCCTCTTTAACGGTAAGCACCATGAATTGCCTTGTTGCTGAAAATGTGCTATATAAATAAAATTACTTTTACCTTTTTACCTTAATGAGCTAATGGCAAAACTCTGCAGGAAGCCTCTCGGCACCTTGAACACATTAAAAATGGTTCAGTAAATGCTTCAGGATTTCTTTTCCCACTGTAATGTCTACTTTTGCTGTTTGTTCAGCTCTTTTGTTTCTCCTTCCTGGTTCCTGACCCTGCATTAATGACTTGCCTCTCTCTGTTTAGAATACACATACATAGCCTGCAGCTGCTATTGTGACATGTAAGAAGGAAGGAATGAGCAGTTGTAATTTTATGGCCTGCTGCTCTCTAACTCAATCAGAGGACGTCAGGCAGAGTGCTCACAGCTTCGAGGAAAACAATTAACAAGCCCGATACCTCAGGGTGGCCTTCTTCAATATGTGCTCAGATCCTGCCCGTCTCTCTGACAGCATGACTCATTTATTCAGAATTGTTGACAGTAACATATGACTCAGAGTAGGTAATAATTACTGGATGCTATGCACAAAGCGGAGGCTTCTTACTTTCCTGTAGATATTTATATGAGAAGTGTGAAAATGAAGCTTCTCTGTAGCACTTTATGCTTTGTCAGATGTCATCTTTTTTTTTCTTTTGTCTCTCTTTTCAGTCCTTATTCTGTCCCCTATCTCAAGACTTTGTTGTACCTCTTCCTCATCCCCATAGGCACAAAAATAATAATTACTTCATGAATTCCTTCCGACACATTTGGCTGGGGATAATGCATGAGAACACAGACTATGACAGTCTGCTCTCAGTGCTGACGGTAAAAAAGTGCTAACCTAGTACTGCTCTCTGGCTTGTGGCTACGCTTGTTTCCCTCTGGGCACAGTTTCTGCCTCAGGTTATCTCTGGCTAATCCACAGGTCCACACATTTGCAGTAACATGCTCAGCCTGAATCCATTCTTAACACTTAGAAACATTTTTTTTTTCAATCTAACTTCCTTCTTTTGAAAAAAAGTCACAAAAAATCATCCTGAGGAAAACTATTTAATAAGGTGAATCTCAACAAATTAGAATATCATAATTAAGGTATTTCTTTTCCCCAATGATTGAATCAAAAATGTAACATTTGGCATTGTGAACACAGTTATTGCATTTAAGATCAGAATGGACTATGTGTGTCATTAAATCTGATTGAATTGTATTGTTGTGAGTTTGATTTATTCCTTATTGCTGTAAAATTAGAAGTAATTTGAACCTGTTTTTCTCATAAAAAGCTTTGAGATGTTTTGTGTAAATATGCATGGTATGAATATGGAAAATTTTACTTAAGTAATTGTTATGTCTAAGAAATTCATCAGAAAAATATCCGACTGCTCTTCCGTCATTGATATCTTCACAAGTAGGATAAGTCATATAAGGTAATTAAAGTGGCTAAAAGCTGTTTTTTTATATTGATGGAAAGTTGAGTGGAAGGAGAAAACATGCATATTAAATTATTGAAATAAATTGCTTTTTTATTTTTTTAAGAATATAATGGAATGTGTGTTTAATTAGCTGTACCTTCGAGGAAATTCACACTTTAATAGCAGAAAAGTAATTTAAATGACATTCTAATTTTTGAGAGTCACCTATACATGTGCTCTGTAAAAAATGTTGCCCTGGTTGACTAGTTGGACATACTTCCCTAAATCCTAGGGTAGGTGTACTTCAACCAAGAGCTGAGATCTTAAAGGTGAAAGCAATGCTCATCGACAGACTGTACATGTAAAGAGACCAGCTGGATGTGCCAGAACCCTAAACTAACCACCATCAACCCCTTCTTAAAGGAACCTATCCTCCTTTGGCCTCTTCCTTCCTGTCTAACCCAGGCTTAATGTCCTCTTACCCCTTGCTAGGCATCGCTCTATTAACCTCTTCCTTCTGGCATATCAAAGTATATGGATAGAAACAGAGGAGTACTCTTTTGAGGAGAAGCTGGTGCAGGACCTCGCAGTAAGTAGTCATGGCTCTCACCTCCCCAGTTCTCCTCATGTACATACCTATGAGCTGTGCATAGTTTATATGCGACAGTCTTCGTCTTGTCAGTGTCATGCCATTGTCAGTTTGTGTAACTGAGTCACTCCTGGTGACCCAGGTAGTGCAGAGATGTGTTTCAGGTAAGCATGACATCTCTGCTGATGTCAAGGCGACTTGATGTGTTGTGTTAAACACAGGTAAGGAAGCATCCTGTCACAATGCTTCAACTTACCAGTTTAATTTATTAAGTTTGTCCTTCTCAATTTTTTTTTCTTTACTCCCAGACTTCATCTATTTAGTGTAGAAGCTCAAAAATAGACACTACAGTTGAAGTTTTTGTAGCTTCACACACATGCATGTATAAAATCACAATCGTACACATCTTCTATGCAGCAAGATGAAAGCATCTCTACTTTTAAAACTAAATAATGTTAAAAAACTAAATAATGTAAAAAAAAAAAAAATCATTTGTTTTAGAAACCAAGATAAATAACCAAAGAAAATAGAAAAATTAAGGTTAAAAAAATAATAATGTTTCAGAACTTAAGTATCTAAAACATTAAGTTTCAGATACTTAATACTGCTGTCTCATTTTTTCTGTCTTTTATAAGATCACACTTCACGACTACAGTAAGCCGATATTAGCTGATTAATTAGTCAAGCTATCAGCTCATAGCTTGATTTACGGTGCTTTAGCTCTAGGTCATTTCAGCACTTATCTCTGACATAACATTAAAGTGACTTTAAATTGTGGAACTCCTATCACAGAAGCCTTTATCTCTTTTAAAACTTTTTAAAACCTTGATTACAGTAATAAGCCCATGCCTGGTTTCAGTGTGTGAACTTATTGGATATTTGGTGAATAAGACTGTCATGACGCTGTCATAAACATGACATAACACCTGTCATGAACATCAATAAGTCTTCATGAATATTTATGACTGTTGTCATAAAGTGTCATTCGGTAAATTATGAGACTTTTAATACAAAGTTGACATTATTGAAAATGTCTTTGTTATGACAACTTGACATTAATCTAGACAAAATTGTCTTCGTTATGACAACTTATCATTAACCAAGAAATCATGATCTGACATAAATTTGTCATAATAGTAGTCATAATGATTTAATTATTACACTAGCAAAAGCTTTAACAAAACAATGATTAATATTTCCACTCCCTGAAATAAAGCAAAACAAGTAGGACAAGCAATAGATTTCATTAAGCTTTATTACACTGTCAAATGATTTAATAGCAGACTTATTAATTTTTTTTTATATATCAACTAAAGTGGAACAAATAGCACCAGTTATGAATATGTCATTAAGTGTTATTACAGTGTCATTAAGTGAAGTGAAACAAGTAGCAACAGTTATGAAGATGTCATTAAGTGTAATTAATATTAACTCTTACCTCAAGTAAAGTGAAACAAGTAGCAATAGTTATGAAGATGTCATTAAGTGTCATTACAGTGTCATTAATATTAACTCTACTTCAGGTAAAGTGAAACTAGAAGCAACAATTATAAAGATGTAATTTAGTGTTATTTAGTGTGTCTCATTCCCTATCAAACTGTCATGAGTTGTGGCAAGTGGTGGTGAGA